CAGAGGGACTTGAGCCAATTCCAGCCCCAGAGCCTGGCGAGTCCAGGACAAGGCCCAAGGCCCTGCTTCCGGTGAGTGGTAACCAAAGCCCGGTGAGGACAGCGCGGCTTTCGCCAGGAATAAAAGCACAATGACCTCCAGGAAAAAAACTACCGAAAACCCCAATGCCTCAACGGGAGAGAAGGGCAAACGGGAGGAAGAGGACTGGGGAGAAATAATCACACTTAATGAGCCTTATCTCAAGGGAAACGTACACGATGCTTTCAGGACCCAAAGAGATTCAAATTAGCTTCCTGCCAATCACTCAGCCCCAGACTCTCATTGGTGATGACAGATGGGGCCAGGCCCCTGCTCATTAGCTTTCTAGCAATGATTCTCCTGTTGAAAAGAAAATCGGGGAGCTTCCAAAGTCAGGTGACTCAATGCAACGGGCTGACCCACCTCTGAGGGTCTCTGGATCCTGGAGGCCTCAGGTTACCCTACCTGGCAGGGTGCGTGTACATTCCAACCTACACTATTCCCATGGAGGCGGGGGCGGCTCCCCGGGCTGATGTGCGGCCTCAAGGCCACGGGACATTGTGACATGCCACCCTACAGAGAGAAGGGCACCCAGGGCTCCCTTTTCCTCATCAGGGGAAGGGCAGAATGCACAGGTTAACCAGGGTCCCCCTTGAAGGGGCAGGGGAAGAGGTGACTGCGTGCACCACCAGGTATACAGTAGGCAGTGTGGAATACGGTGCCCCAGGTATACAGTGTTCGTGACAAGATGGCCAACTCCCTGGAAGGCACTGCCCCTGCCCCAGGACGGCAGCCTGTGGAGGACTCCCCTGTGGGGCACCGCGGCTTGCTGGGGTGCTTCCCCGTCAGGTGGGGTCCACCCAGCGGCTGGCTGGTACGCCCTTTTGGGTGCCAGGACAAGGCAGGAAGGGATACTGTGACCCACGCCCAAGAGGTGGCAAGAACCCATGAACCAAAAGCTCAGGGTGGTAGCGGGCAGCACTGAAGAGCTTCCGCTGCCTTCCTTCCTGCTCACTGGCAGGAGCAACACTGGGGAGACAGCGGGAAGAGCTGTCTGGGTGCTGCTGGCAGTCAGCCATAGCAGCCAGAGTGTAAAGCACCCAGACTACCCCTCCCTCCCCCCCCCAGATTACAACCATTTGGGGGAACAGACAGCCCCATCTCACAGGCTGCCCAAGCCTCTTGCTCTCTTTGTGCTCCTTGCTTGCTCTCTTCCTGCTAATAAATACCTGCTAATACCTCCAGCCTTTGTGGAGAGCTCAATAAACTTCCTCTCTGGGTCGCATGAGAGGCCCATCCAAGCGGGGAGCCATTGCTCGGGCTTTAGGCTGAACTCCTTAATCACCACACAGCTTGGGAAAGGAAGGACCACAAAGTCGTCTCCGGAATAGATGGCACCCCGCCTGAGCCACGGAGAGTGTTCCAGAAGACCATTACGCAACCTCACTGCACCTAACAGGCCATCAAAGGTCAGACCGAGATCTGGGGCCAAGGAAGAGAAGTGCATTTCTGTGCTGCTCTTGGGCTGGCTTTTTATCTTATATTCATTGCAGCTGGGCGTGGTGGCTCAGGCCTGTAATCCTAGCTTCTTGGGAAGCTGAGATCTGAGATTCGTCAGCCTAGGCAGACAAATCTGAGACTCTTATTTCTAATTAGCCAGCAAAATGCTGGAAGTGGAGGTGTGGCTCAAGTGGTACAGCAAAAAAGCCAAGCAAGAATGCAAGTCCCTGAGTTCAAGCCCCAGTACAGGCGCAAAAGGTAATTTAAAAAAGAAAAGGAATTCATGGGCTGTGCTTGCCACGCTGCCGTTTGTGATCATGTGATCAGCCAGGCCGAGGGGAGGGGCGCTTTCCACAGCGACAGCCAATGAGGTGAGACAGTCACGGGCTACATCTTTGGAACCCAAGCCACTGACAGCTCAGGCTCTCCGCCCTGCTTCCCACGCTGTGCACAAACCAATAAAGTACTCCAACTTTATAACCACTTAGAAGCGGCCACCGGTGTCTCCAGGGGCTCACAGATGGCACCCCACAGTCCTCATCACCAGCGCCACCCGAGGGTTGGGGGAAGGTGAATGGCACGCGGGGACACACCTCTCAGGAGAGACGGAAACGTCCGCACAGGGCCCGCCGCCGACCTCGCACCTGCCCTCCCGCCACGTCTCCCCGGAGGGGGGTGCGCGGGGAGCCCTCACCTGTGAAGTCCTGGAAGCACTCGCAGGAGTAGCCGCCCTCGCGGCTGAGGCAGCGGCCGTGGTCCCCGCACGGGCTGGAGTAGCACAGGTCGATCTCGGTCTCGCAGTAGTCGCCGGTGAAGCCGGGCGGACAGCGGCAGCGCAGGCCGGTGATGGGGTGGATGGGGCGGAAGAGCACGGTGGCGGAGCTGACGAAGGGCGCGGAGCTGTCGAAGCGCAGCACCGACACGCACTTCATGTAGTTCTCGCAGGGCTCCCGCAGACAGATGTTGTCATCGAAGGGCAGCACGCGCTGCGCCGCGATGGCCGCCAGCAGCGTGCGGTTCAGGTAGATGTGCTCCTGCAGCTCCTCCGACGGGAAGAAGCGGCCGCCCGGCAGCAGCGCCGAGAACGTCACGTTCAGGATGTTGGAGCTCACGTCCGTGTCGTTCTGGATGTTGAAGACGAAGACGTCGTCCTTGCTGGTGGCCAGCACCGTGGCCACGCCCTCCACGAAGAGGGACAGCAGCGGGGACAGGAACTTCTCCTGGGACATGTTCTCCAGGCGGACGGTGATGCTGTTGGTGAGCATGTCGTCCGTGATGATGATGACGCGCAGCGTGCACAGGGCCGAGACGCTGTGGAGGCCGTCTGCGGGGAGCAAGGACAGCTGGGGTCACCCGGTGCCCTCGGGGTCACGGCCAGGGGCGCGCCTGGCACCCTGCTCCCCCCCGCCCCCCATCCCCAGCCCCCCACCCGTGACACCCACGCCTGGGCCCTCCTGCCTTCTTTTGTGATTCCCCACGGGTTTCCAACCACAGAGAGGACGGGCCCTCGGCACGTGGTGTACCAAGTCCACGCGATGGCGGTTCTGGGCCGCGTCGGGGTGGGCGGACAGGTGGGGTCACCCATCCTGACAGGCGGCCCCAGGCACAGGATGGCAGTGGAGGCCCCCGCCCGGCGGCCTTCACCGGCTCCCGGAGCCCACCTCAGACCTGAGACGCGGGTGTGCTTCTGGGCACAGCCCAGAGTCAGGATGCCCGCAGCGCTGCGGATGCCCCTGGCTCCCACACCCTACCAGCCACCCAAAGGCACCCACCAACCTCAGTTCCCAAGGACAGAAGCCAGGCAGGTGCAGGCGCTCCCGAACCTTTCCCCACGGGTGTGTGGGATGTACCCACCCAGTCTGAGTGGAGAGGACACTGTGGGGGGGGCGGGGTGGAGCCGTCCGGGCCCCACAGCACAGGGGAGCCTTTGGAGCAGCGGGGGCAGAGGCGCAGACCACCCCCAGGCTGGGTCTGGGGAGGACTGCAAGTCACGTGACCCGCCCATCACTGAGGGATGTCGGCCATTTCACAGCCACCGGCCCTGCCGGTGCTCAGATCACTACAGCAGGCCCAGAGCCCCACAGAGCCCACACCACTCCACCGTGCAGCCGGGGAAAACCGTCAGGGCTAGAGGGGAGCGGCTCACCCAGGGACGGCCTTCCCCATCCCAGCCAGTGAAGAAGGCTTCCCGTCCTTCTCCATCCAGCCCAGGAAGCCTGGTGGGGCGGGATTTTAGAAAGGAGGGGAGGAAGACAGACTCCACTTCAGTGTGGGGAGCTGCTCCCCATCCAGCCTGGACCAAGCACTCCTTCACTCCCCCACCCCCCGGCCAGCAGCCCAGGCACCCCGGCAGCTGGGAACCAGGGCTAGACAATGATCAAAAATGGGAAGACACAACGGGCGCCAGTGGCTCACGCCTGTCATCCCAGCTACTCAGGAGCCTGAGATCTGAGGATCACGGTTCAAAGCCAGCCCAGGCAGGAAAGCCCGTGAGACTCTTATCTCCAATAAACCACTAGAAAACTGGCAGTGGTGCTGTGGCTCAAGTGGTAGCATGCTCACCTTGAGCTGAAGAGCTGAGGGACAGCGCCCAGGTCCAGAGTTCAAGCCCCATGACCGACAAGAAAACATGGGGGAAAAACACAGATGGCGAAGCACAGGTGCACAGACCTTGAGCACAGGCGTCCGCGCCCTCCCTCCCTGGCCCACCGCCACCCTGGCCCGAGTAGCACTACCCCCCTCTCCTGGCTCAGGGGACCAAGATGCTGCGTCACACAGAGGTGGCAGAAGCAGCGTCTCGACATCCAGTCTGAGCACCAAGAGGAAAGCAGGGCCTCTCCTTCCTGTGGTGCTGGTATAGAGAGGTCATGTGGAGAGGCCCTGCTGGGCACACCAAGGCACTGTGGTCACCAAGGCCCAGACATCACACAGCAGGCTCGAGCCACACACACGAGCAAAGAACAGAGAGTTGGCAGCCACTGTATTCCTGGCCTGCCTCAGTTTCCCTCCATATTCATCCTCACAGCGTGGTCGTGGTTGTTTCAGTGTGGATCCCATCACCACAGTTTCCTGTGGTTTCTAAGGAGACCACTCCCGACCCTTCCAGTGGCCTGACAGGATCTCTCCCCTACCTCCCGCCATCATAGCACACCTCCCTGGCATCCCTCTTCTATTCCCAGGGCCTTTGCACATCTTGTCTTTGACTTAAGAGCTGCCCTTGTCGCCCAGTGGCTGCTCCCTTGCCCCACCCCCACCCCTTCCCGGGTTTCAGCTACTGTCCCTCACCAGGGGCTCCTGTGCTGAGTACCCCTCCCCCCACCCCGGCTTGACGTCATGATTTACGTCTGTTCTTCTGCAGGAGTGGTTGATGCTGTCCTAAAGTCACAGCTAGAGCAGTCCCCGGCACTCAGAGGCCAGACCAATGGATAACCCGTGGGGAGGGGCGGCGGGGCGAGGGGGGATTTCCTGGTCGCAGCCAGAGGCTCTGTTCTCCACACAAGCTGTGTGTGTGTGGCTGTTGACTGTTTCTTTGTGAGGGTCTTGGGTGGCACCTGCTGGACAGCTAGCTTCCTGAGGGGCTGCCTGGCTGCTCTGCCCGAGACACAGGCCATACTGGTGTTCAGCCAGAAGCCCAGGCCTTCACAAGTGTGCAGGTCCATCCAGCCCCCAAAGTCACAGCCCCAAAGAACAAGAACACTCCAGAATGCTCCGGAACGAGGAGCCGCAGGCTGCGGACACGGGTCCTCACCTGGGGACAGTGACCACTCAAAGTAGCACTGGAGAGTAAGCACTGTTGCTGAGCTAGCACACACAATGCACTGACCACCGAGCCCAGTGCTGGGGCAGACCAGGCCCAGGAGTCGATGAGTTTGGTTCTGGCCCGGCCTGGCTGGGCTGGATCCGAGTCCACCCACACAGCGTCGGCAGAGGCAGGCTGCACTGGCACCCAGCCGAGCAGTGCCCCAACAAACATGGCTGGACACCGCCCACTGGACCACACGTCCACAGGGTCTCAGATATCCTTCCTGGGCTGACCTGGAGCCATGATCCTCAGATTTCAGCCTCCTTAGGAGCTGTGACCACAGATGTGAGCCACGGGCACCCGGTCCCTGAAAAACCACTTTACCTTGGCCCCAAACCTGGGACAAGTGGTCAGCTCCACAGCCACAAGCTGTCCTGTGTCCTCCACCCCAGGGCCCAGTGTGTGTCCTTGGTGCCTCTGGAGTGCTCTGGAGGACAAGCCTTGGGCCTTGGGCCATGGCAGGTGGACATATACAGATCTCTTCCTCCTCCTCTTCCACCCCAGTGCCTTCCCCCAGGGCTTCTGCATCATCATCCATCAGTGTCACAGTGAAAAGCTGGGCCCCCAAGTCTGAGGTCCAGGTGCATGTCCACAGCTGTGAGAACAGTGCTGATACCACAGCCCCTCTCCTCACCCCGGCCCTGCACCCACAAGCAGCCCGGCCCGGCTTCCGTGGCCTCCCAGGGAGCTACATCATTGAGGTCTAGACAGTTGGAAGATGGAACAGTTCCTCACAGGTGAGACGGAGGGACGCCGCAGAAAGCCGTGTCAGCTGCGAAGAACTCTCCAGGACTCCAGATGGGATGGGACCTATCACCTGACCCAGTGTGGGCCAAGCTGGTGGCAGGAGGGTGCTGGTGCTCCCACAGCAGACCCTTCCCTCAGAACATGGAGAGGAAAGGTCTCCCCACACCCCGCAAGGGGCAGGTGGAGGAGCGGAGCAGGACGGGAGGGGCTGTGCTCTGAGATGGATGGCGGTGCCATACCATGGGAGAAGGGCAAGGCAGCCATCACAGAAAGACCCCAGGAGGTAACAGGGAGGCGTCTCCTAAAGATTTAGAATGGAGTTGACCTTGCTGTGGACAGGAACAGCCTTCTGGGCACAAGACCCAGCAAAAGCACAAGTGACACAGTCAGGGGAAGGAGCACCAAGGTCCTGTGGTTGCCAGGTCAAAGCCATGGCCGAGCAGCCCATGACAGCACACAGTCTCCCACCTGGTTTTGAGGCCACAAGTCCCGGGATCCATATTCCCAGCAAGATCCCTGGAGAAGCTGCCAGGCTGCTGTCCAGCACCGGGTCACTGCACGCTCCATGTCACTGGCTTGTGGGCACACCACACCACTCTTAGTTCTGCCTTTCCTGGCCTGTCTGCTTTCTCTTCCTTTTTTTTTTTTTGTTGTTGCTAGTCCTGGGGCTTGAACTCAGGGCCTGGGCACTGTCCCTGAGCTTCATTTGCTTAAGGCTGGCACACTACCATGTGAGCCACAGCACCACTTGTGGCTTTTTCTGATTATATGTGGTACTGAGGAATCAAACCCAGGGCTTCATGCATGCTAGGCAAGCACTCTACCACCACGCCTCCTTCCCAGCTCTGCTTTCTCTTCTTCAAAGGGACACCAGCATGTGCCATGGTGACACCCCAATGACCTCAGCAAAGCCCCATTTCAAAGTAACAACCCACTCTGAGGGTCAAGATGCACATGAACTGGGGGGACACTATTCAGCCTAGGAGCAACGGCTATGTGGCATTGTAGGGAGACAAGGCCATGGAGAAGGGGAGCCCAACTGCTGTGACCTATGGCTGTCCCTGAGGGCAGTGCAAGCAGCAATCCTAATGTGGGGACTCTGTACCACACCAGGCCTACACAGCCCTTCTTTAGGTGGGGACCCAAAGGCATCGCAGGGCTGTGAGCCTGGTGGCAGATGGAGTGAGGGAAGGGAGGCCCAGGAGGACACTGGCACTGAGGACCTCGAGGACAAAGGCCAGCATCTGACCCAAAACACACCGGAGTCTTGGGGACAGCTGAGTGGACAGTGGTGTCAGAAGGAGCCTAGGTCCACTTGTCTGTGTCTCTCACCCAGTCTGGAGGCCTCCCCAACCCTCCTTGCCCCAGTGTCTGCAACACCCTGGCCTTTAGAGCTGCTCCCCACAGTCCAGCGCTGCCCCTTGCAGCCAAGTGCTGTTCCCCACAGCTAAATACTGTCCCCCACAGCCCAGCACTGTCCCCCACAGCCCAGCGCTGTCCCCCAAAGCCCAACACTGTCCCCCGTAGCCCAGCGCTGCCCCCACAGATCAGCACTGTCCTCCACAGCCCAGTGCTGCCCCCCAAGCTGACTGCTATCTCCCACAGCCCAGCGCTGTCCCCCATAGCCCAGAGCTGCCCTCCAAAGCCCAGCACTGTCCCCCACAGCCCAGCGCTGCCCCTACAGACCAGCACTGTCCTCTACAGCCCAGCGCTGTCCCCCATAGCCCAGCACTGTCTCCTGTAGCTGGCTGCAGTCGCCCTGCAAGGTGTCACTG